GTTCAGGCGACGGCAGCTGCTGCGGCTCCAGGCCACCGAGCGAACCATGGTGCGGGAGAAGGAGAACAACCCCAGCGGCAAGAAGGAGCTGTCGGAGGTGGAGAAGGCCAAGCTGCACGGCTCCTACCTCACCGTGACGCTTCAACGCCCCACCAAAGACGTCCACGGCACTTCTATCGTCCCCAAGCTGCAAGCCATCACAGCCTCCTCCACCAACCTGCAGCACTCTCCCCGTGTGGTCATGCGCCACGCGCCCACCAGGATGCCCCTGCGGGGCGGCGGGGAGGAGGAGGCAGCCGCCGAGGAGGATGAGGAGGAAGAGGAGGAGGAGGACGAGAACGCGGAGGAAGGGGGGGCGGCCCGGCTCAACGGCCGAGGGGGCCGGGCACAGGAGGGCGAGGAGAGTTGGATGCAGCGCGAGGTGTGGATGTCCGTCTTCCGCTACCTTACTCGCAGGGAGCTCTGCGAGTGCATGCGGGTGTGCAAGACCTGGTACAAGTGGTGAGTGTGGGGGCGCGTGGCGGCGGTGGTGGAGGGGACACAGCCATGTCTACCCGTGTCCTGACCCCCGGACCGGGTACGGCCACACCGAGCCGTGTGCCTGGTGGGCAGCCAGAGGGAAAGGGGGGAAAGGATCTCACCTCGGTGTCCTCCCTTTTCTCCACGCACAGCGTTTCCCTTGGACCTTGCGGCCAAGCCCTGCTGGCTGCTCCCTCTGCCATATGCGCACCGTTTTTTATCGTCCCCTTCTAACTGCCTTCCTCCTGTCCCTTCTGTTGGGAGGCGGCGGGGGAGCACTTGTGTCCCCCCCGCCGTGTCCTTGCGAAGTGCCGATGCCCTTTCCTCACCTGCCACCCAGCGTGGTCCTTGTCCTTCCCGTCCTGCCTCGGCCTCCCGGCAGGCAGAGCTGGGGATGGGTTTGCTGGCTGGAAACGCCGCGGCGGGGGGGGATGGCAGGCCTGAAGACAATGCTGGCAGCAGGACAGCTGTGGATGGAGGGCTTGGGAACAGACAGGGACTGGAAACTGGGAGGGTTTCTAACCACTGAGCAGCGGGAACGGCCCGGTGGGAAAGGACTTGGCCCACTTTGATCAGCGGCTGGTGGGAATGGAGTGTGGCGTGGTGGCTGGAGGAGAGCATCCCCTCACCTGCTACTGGTGTGTGGCATCCTCAGGGGCACGGCTGAGCTGCCCTCAGGTCCTGGGGTCTCCCCAGGCTCCTGTGGGGGGAGAGAGGAGGAGTTTGTGCCTCCTCTGGGCTCTGTTGCAGCTCCTGGCGAAGCGGTGAGCGCTGCCGTGGGGTGGGACCAGGCTGAGTGTTTCTCCTGCTGGGAGCAGGGATGCTTAAGATCTTCCGCTCTGGCAGGAGGAGCACCTGGGAGGGGACAAGCAGGCAGACAGCTGCCGCTCGGAGTCTTGTTAGGTGGCAGCAAAACCCCACCGGGGCTGTTCTGGACATCCCTGGGTGGCCAGACACCCTCAGCAACCTCCCCACATGTTTGGGGAAACCAAGCAGAACAACCTGGTGCTGCGGCTGGAGCCACACCAGGGCTGGGTTCCTCCCCAAAGCCAGGCAACCCGCCGGCCGTCTCTTGTCCCGCGGCGCTCTCGGGGCTCAACTTTCAGCCTTGTCCTCGTCCCCAGGTGCTGTGACAAGAGATTGTGGACAAAAATAGATTTAAGCAGGTGCAAGTCCATCACCCCCCAGGCGCTGAGCGGCATCATCAAAAGACAGCCGGTCAGTCTCGACCTCAGCTGGACCAATATCTCCAAAAAACAGCTTACGTGGCTCGTCAACAGGCTGCCAGGTGAGCGTGGGCTGGGGAGGTGTCCCTGCTTCTGCCACCAGCCTGCTCCCAGGCTTCCTGACGGCTGGAGACGGGCTCTGCGCCCCGGTACCCACCAGCTTGCAAACTCCTGGGTGCCGGGATCTGGGTCCAGCAAAGGGCTACAAAGATGATGAGGGGATTGGAACATCTTTCTGCTGAGGGAAGGCTGAGGGACTTGGGGCTTTTTGGTCTGGAGAAAAGAAGACTGAGGGGAGATTTTATCAATACTTACAAATCCTTAACGGGAGGGTGTCAGGGGGATGGGAACAGTCTTGTTCCAGCGGTGCCCAGTGACAGGACAAGAGGGAACGGGCACGAACTTGAGCATAGGAAGTTCCATCTAAACACGAGGAGGATTCTGGCCTTGGAGGGCGGCAGAGCAGGGGCAAAGGCTGCCCAGAGAGGTGGGGGAGTCTCCCCCTCTGGAGCCATTCCAAACCCGCCTGGATGCCGTCCTGTGCCACTGCTGGAGGTGCCCCTGCTCTGGCAGGGGGTGGACTGGGGAAGCTCCAGAGGTCCTTTCCAACCCTGACCATTCTGTGATCTCGTCCCCCAGTAAGTGGCCGCTAGTGCTGCGGTGTCCCGCGGCTGTGCGTCAACCTCTCCTTCAGAGAGCCCGGCTCCCCGTCGCATCCCAGGCAGGGAGAGGAACTGCTTTCTCCTGTGCCTGGAGAAAAGAGGGTTGAGATCTGAGACACCTCGGAGCTGACCGAGCCTGTCTGACTTGGTACCTCTCTCCCTTCTCCTCGTAGGCCTGAAAGACCTCATCCTAGCGGGCTGTTCCTGGTCTGCGGTCTGTGCTCTCAGTACCTCCAGCTGCCCCCTTCTCAGGACCCTCGATCTTCGGTGGGCAGTAGGAATCAAGGACCCTCAGATCCGGGACTTACTCACGCCTCCAACAGACAAACCCAGTAAGCTCTTGCCCAAGCTGGGGGCGGTGGGGAGTTGAAGGAGGGTGACGTGCTGGGTGAGGGTGACATGCTGGGGAGGCGATGCCGGATCCGGAACGCCCCCAAAACCCGGCAGGGCAGAAGATAGTCCGCGCTCAACTTCTCCTTTCCCTCTTACAGGTCAGGACAATCGCAGCAAACTCCGCAACATGATCGATTTCCGGCTCGCCGGCCTGGACATCACCGACGCCACGCTGCGGCTGATCATCCGCCATATGCCCCTGCTCTCCCGCCTCGACCTCAGCCACTGCAACCACCTTACGGACCAGTCGGCCAACCTCCTCACGGCTGTGGGCTCTTCCACACGCAACTCCCTCACCGAGCTCAACATGGCAGGTGGGTACGCCGTTCTGGGTGGCCCTGGCTGGATTTGCCATCGTAAAGCGGCTTCTTCCTCCCCACCCGCCCTCCTGCCCTCGCACATGGAGCTCAGCTCTGGCTTCGTGGCGGCGTTGGTGGCTCACTCTTCCTCTCGTCTCCCCGCAGGCTGCAATAAGCTGACGGACCAGGCCTTGCTCTACCTGCGCCGCATCTCCAACGTCACTCTAATCGACCTGCGAGGTTGCAAACAGATCACCCGCAAAGCCTGTGAGCACTTCATCTCGGACCTGTCCATCAACAGCCTCTACTGCCTGTCCGATGAGAAGCTGATCCAAAAAATCAGCTAGAGACCCTCCCCGGGGCAGACTGAGGAGAAGGAAAAAGAGCCCATCCCACCCCTTCTCGGAGAGCCGCTCCTCCACGTCCCCACCTTGCCCTCGTGTTGTCCTGCCGTCGCTTCCCACCCGATTTGGCAGGCAGGGCCGCTGCTGGCCTCGCTCCACCGTCCTTCCTCCTCCTCCTCCCCCGGGACTTCTACCGACGAAGATGTCCCGCCAGGTTGGCCAGTACCAGAGGAGGAACGGGCAAATGGCAGGGAGCCTCGACCCGGAGGCTGGCCGCTTCCAAGGCGGAGGTTGTAATAGAAGATCTCTGTGCAGAGAAATGGGGCACCCTCTTCTTCCCTCCCCCCTTCCCCTCCCCTCAGCTTTTTTCCTCCCCTTCTCCCCGTCGTCTCCTTTGCCTTGAAACACTCGTCACTTCCCCGGTAGCACAAAAGCTTTTTTTGAGGGTCGAGGTCTCTCCAAGGAAGCGGGAGCGGAGCTGGAACGAAACGTACCCTTCCGTGCCACCACCAGCTCGTCGCTCGCCCCTGCGCTATCACCCCCCCACCTTTTACCCTTTCCCTCGTCCGGCTGCGGGGGCTG